GTGCGTGTGCCCAAATATATGTAGACCTGTGTGTATATGTATAAGTCTATATATATATATATATATATATATATATATATATATATATATATATATATATATACACACACACATTAAAAAAAGTGTTGAATACAGAGGGGGCAGCCATGATGGCTCATCGCGGCACTCGCATGACAAAGAAATGGCAGTTTTTATCACACAACGACATTTGGGGAATGCTTTCCATCCAATCTGGTTTTAAAATCTTTCAGGTACGTTTCTATTCTTTCATGGTTAGATAATGCCTTGTAGCACTGGAGTCCAATCTGCAATCCTCGGTTCAAATACCGGCCAGGGCTCTATGTACATGGAGTTTGTATCTTGTCTCTGTACTTACGTTGGTTTCCTCCTACACTCCATAGACATGTTGGTTAGCTCTTGTCTTAGGGACCTTAAATTGTAAGCTCCTTGATGGCAGGGCATGTACAGCTTGTAAAATGCTGCATAAATCATCGGCAGTATAGGAAACCCTGTAATGATAAATAATAGGATTGAATGATACTGATCACCTATTGCTTGATAATAGTGTATATGTGGGATTCCTGTAAATGTGAGCCTACAGTGCCACCCACTGCTGGATTTATGTAACTACAGGATGTTACATTCTGGCAGTCTACATAGATCAGCAGTGGAGAGTTACATAAAGGCAGGAGAATTGCCTTCCAGCAGTGCAGAGAATTTCAGGAGAGGAGAGTTTGGTTCCAATCACACCTGCTCAATGTTTATTAGCATGCGTTTTTTGTGTGCAACGGCGTAGGGCAACCCATTCATGGTAATGGGCAATCTTACGTGCAATAAACGCACTAATGTAGCCCCTGGTGCCTTTTTTGGGAGCAGAACTTGGTGCGTTTACTGAGCGATAAACACACGTTCTTTTTCTGCGTTTTAGGGTATCATTAAGAAAAATGGTATCGCAAGTGCATAGTGCGTTTGTTGAGCGTTTTACATCAATGTGTTTCTGTGTGTGTTCCTAGAGTGCGAAGGTGTGAATGAGGCCTCAGAGGAAGGAGAAGAGTTCTTCAGCAGAGCAGAGTATTTCAGGAGAGGAGAGTTATAGAGGAAGGAGCGGAGTCCTCCAGCAGCGCAGAGTATTTCAGGAGAGGAGAGGTATAGAGGAAGGAGCGGAGTCCTCCAGCAGTGCAGAGTATTTCAGGAGAGGAGAGTTATAGAGCAAGGAGCGGAGTCCTCCAGCAGTGCAGAGTATTTCAGGAGAGGAGAGTTATAGAGCAAGGAGCGGAGTCCTCCAGCAGAGCAGAGTATTTCAGGAGAGGAGAGTTATAGAGGAAGGAGCAGAGTCCTCCAGCAGAGCAGAGTATTTCAGGAGAGGAGAGTTATAGAGGAAGGAGCAGAGTCCTCCAGCAGTGCAGAGTATTTCAGGAGAGGAGAGTTATAGAGGAAGGAGCAGAGTCCTCCAGCAGTGCAGAGTATTTCAGGAGAGGAGAGTTATAGAGGAAGGAGCGGAGTCCTCCAGCAGTGCAGAGTATTTCAGGAGAGGAGAGTTACAGAGGAAGGAGCAGAGTCCTCCAGCAGCGCAGAGTATTTCAGGAGAGGAGAGTTATAGAGGAAGGAGCGGAGTCCTCCAACAGCGCAGAGTATTTCAGGAGAGGAGAGTTATAGAGGAAGGAGCGGAGTCCTCCAGCAGTGCAGAGTATTTCAGGAGAGGAGAGTTATAGAGGAAGGAGCGGAGTCCTCCAACAGTGCAGAGTATTTCAGGAGAGGAGAGTTATAGAGGAAGGAGCGGAGTCCTCCAGCAGCGCAGAGTATTTCAGGAGAGGAGGGTTATAGAGGAAGGAGCGGAGTCCTCCAGCAGCGCAGAGTATTTCAGGAGAGGAGAGTTATAGAGGAAGGAGCGGAGTCCTCCAGCAGAGCAGAGTATTTCAGGAGAGGAGAGTTATAGAGGAAGGAGCAGAGTCCTCGAGCAGAGCAGAGTATTTCAGGAGAGGAGAGTTATAGAGGAAGGAGCGGAGTCCTCCAGCAGCGCAGAGTATTTCAAGAGAGGAGAGTTATAGAGGAAGGAGCGGAGTCCTCCAGCAGCGCAGAGTATTTCAGGAGAGGAGAGTTATAGAAGAAGGAGCGGAGTCCTCCAACAGTGCAGAGTATTTCAAGAGAGGAGAGTTATAGAGGAAGGAGCGGAGTCCTCCAACAGTGCAGAGTATTTCAAGAGAGGAGAGTTATAGAGGAAGGAGCGGAGTCCTCCAGCAGCGCAGAGTATTTCAGGAGAGGAGAGTTATAGAAGAAGGAGCGGAGTTCTCCAGCAGAGTATTTCAGGTTTTTTTCTTTCCTTAAGGCTGATGAAATCTTGTTTGATTTGCAGATATCGTTGCAGTTTTCCTCTTCCCTGTACATTGTGTTTTATTGCAGATGATAAAATTTGTTCCCTCCAAAATTTGTCTTGTTAAATATTTGCCGCAGTTTATTCCGGGGGCAGATTTGTGGCGTGCTCTGTACAGGATGTAATGTATTGCCGTTTCCATATTAATTGTCTATAATTCAGCTAAATGAGATTTCCATCCAAATACTAAATAAAATATATTAATAATGCGGCAGATTAGGAGCTCCGACTCCTCGTGAATATTCAGCGAGGGATTGTGCGCAGAGTCATGTCATCATAAAACAACTTCCCGACGCCATCCATCCTGAAAAGTAAATGTCAATGGCAGAAGGAATGCGCACAGATTCTGAAATGATTCTTCACAGTAACAGAAATGTTTTGGGTGTTTTATTCCCTTTTGAATTTGTTCCATATTAAAGAACTGAATTGATTACTGAAGTGCTCGCCGCTTATAATTAAACTCCCCAACTATTCATCACAAACACAATCTTATGTTCCCTTTTCTACGTGCGCAAAATAAACGATAATCCTTTAGAAAGGAATTGTATATATAAACAAAACAATGAAATAAATATAATAAATCCAATCAATAAATAAACAAATGATACAATCCTGCATTCTGCACTATTGTGTGTCTAATCCGTGAACAGAACAAATCTCTGCTTGTTAATAGGAACCTGAAATACCCCCCCCCCCCCCCCCCCCCGCCCGCATCATTTCCAAGGGTGAGATAACCCAAAAATAGGGGGGGGGGTGCACGGAGGTGGTGGGGTTCACAACAAGAGTTGTTATTGACACTATCTGTTGGATTTAGCACAGAGCGGGTAAAGGAGAGCTCAGAATGCGGGATTGTATCATTTGTTTATTTATTGATCGGAATATATTATATTTGTTGTTTTTCCTTTTATATGGGATTATTGTTTATTTTGTACATGTGGAAAGGGATACATGAGCTTGTTCTTGTGATTATTAGTGCGGTCGTTTAATTATAAACATTGAGAACTATTATAATCAATTTCTGTTTAATCATTATATGATATGAAGCACAGCATGCTATAGGTGACATGAGCAATAGGATATAGGTGATAAGGAATACAGGTGATATAGATTGTTTTTTTTGGTCATAGATTATATAGATTATAGGTGTGATAGGTGATAGTTCATAGAAATGACAGATGATATGGGTGATAAGTGATAGAGATGATAGGTATTGGTGATATAGGTAATAGATATATGTGATAGAGATGATAGGTATTGGTGATATAGGTAATAGATATATGTGATAGAGATGATAGGTATTGGTGATATCAATAATAGATATATGTGATAGAGATGATAGGTATTGGTGATATAGGTAATAGATATATGTGATAGAGATGATAGGTATTGGTGATATCAATAATAGATATATGTGATAGAGATGATAGGTATTGGTGATATAGGTAATAGATATATGTGATAGAGATGATAGGTATTGGTGATATTGGTAATAGATATATGTGATAGAGATGATAGGTATTGGTGATATAGGTAATAGATATATGTGATAGAGATGATAGGTATTGGTGATATAGGTAATAGATATATGTGATAGAGATGATAGGTATTGGTGATATTGGTAATAGATATATGTGATAGAGATGATAGGTATTGGTGATATAGGTAATAGATATATGTGATAGAGATGATAAGTATTGGTGATATTGGTAATAGATATATGTGATAGAGATGATAGGTATTGGTGATATCGGTAATAGATATATGTGAAAGAGATGATAGGTATTGGTGATATTGGTAATAGATATATGTGATAGAGATGATAGGTATTGGTGATATCAATAATAGATATATGTGATAGAGATGATAGGTATTGGTGATATTGGTAATAGATATATGTGATAGAGATGATAGGTATTGGTGATATAAATAATAGATATATGTGATAGAGATGATAGGTATTGGTGATATTGGTAATAGATATATGTGATAGAGATGATAGGTATTGGTGATATCGGTAATAGATATATGTGATAGAGATGATAGGTATTGGTGATATCGGTAATAGATATATGTGATAGAGATGATAGGTATTGGTGATATCATATATATTGTCACCAGAACAGAAACAGAGGGCAATTCTTTCAATGGGGACACCTCTTCTAATGGTGACCTTACATGGAACAATTTCATATACAATTATATTGTCAATCGATTTACTGTCGGGGAGAAAAATACAATCAAAAAGATCATCGAATGCACTAAACACTTAACAATCATATTTATCAGTGATCAGATTTTACATTCAGACTGATTTGAATCATTTCAAAAATTGATCGGTTTTCCTTAAAATCGATCGATGACACCGTAGGTGTCTTTCCAGCAATTCATAGATTTACTCCTATTGTTTGATTCTGTGATTGGTCATTTGATCAGGTTGTTACATGTATGGCCGCCATAAGAGGGGGTTATCCTGAGTTGGGAGAGATTTCTTCTCAGGAAATGAAGGGATATCTCCCCAATGGGGTCTGTACGGATGGTGTACAGCGCTCCACCCTATGTTGGTGCTGATGATGTCATATTGATGGGTATATAAAGGGATAAATGCTATATAACATCTGGTTTTCGGCAGGACGCTGGGCGAGGCCTGGGCACAGCTGAAGAAGAGTCTGGCGGATGAGGCTGAAGTTCATCTGAAATTCTCCTCCAAGGTAAATACCGGAGCTTCGCTTTCCGATCTCACATCTCAGATTTCACTGATTTGTAACAATGTTGTAGTGACAATAAAAATGTATATAATAAACTCCGCAGGGGGCGTGAACAAGTGTCATGTGACCAAGGAGATCAATTTCTGAATCTCCAAATTCCCTCAATTACCCAATTTCTGGGATTTCAGGGACCTCTGTCTAGACTGAGATGTTCAACCTGCTCCTGATGGCTGCAATCCATGGCTTGTAACTGTCAGGTGTGCGCCCACTCAGAGCCAATGTGCACAGCACTCGGTAGTGAGGAAGTGGGGGAGATCGTGGCTCTGACTAATGCAGGCCATAGACGGATCGAAAATCGGCCAATTTTTCATCCGAAAAAAAAAAATCGGCCGATTTTCGCACCGTTAGTGGGTTAATTGGTCGGCCATTTTTCAGGTTTTTGACACATTTTTTTTATCGGTAAAGTTGGAAAATTTGCGGCCGATTTTCCCGGCAATGATGGGTAATTGGCCGATCGTTTTACCGATAAAAAATCTGCGCATGAGCCGTGACCTGCAAGAAGAAAAAAAAAGAAAAGAAGAAGAAGAAAAAAAGAAGAAGAAGAAGAAGAAGAAAAAAGAAGAAGAAAAGAAGAAAAAAAGAAGAAGAAGAAGAAAAAGAAGCAGAAGAAGAAGAAGATAAAGAAGAAGAATAAGAAGAAAAAGCAGAAAAAGAAGAATTCCAGTCCGCTATTATATTTTATATGAAAAGTCTTGCGGTTGCAACAATGTATCTATTTGTATCCGAATAAAAACATCTGTATCCGAAATGGATACAAATAGATACAATGTTGCAACCGCAAGACTTTTTCATGTCAAATATAATAGCGGAGCTCTCTGCAGGGACATAATTAAATGCCGGCCGTAGACGGGACAAAAATTGACCAATTTTTTTACCGTTGGTGGAAACGTCGGCCGATCGAACAACTGATTTTTCAATTTTTTTTTTCTTATAAAAAAAACAGACGGTTTTCGACCCGTCTATGGCCTGCATAATGCTGGCCATACATTATACAATTTTCTTGAGAATTTTGCATTAGAATTACCAAAAACCATATAATATGAGGTCAAACCAAAACAACCCTTTCAATTGTATCCAATTAGGCAGGCCCTTGTTCTACATAGTTTAACCCCTTTGCGCTGGCACCTCCCAGCCCTTTAAGAGGTTTCACAACGGGGGGTGTGGTTTTACGGTCAAGTGACCGCCGTGATTCGCTGTCACAGCGGTCACATGATCGGAAAAGGTCCTGACCGCAAGGGGAGATCGGGACCTTTCCGTGAGTCACAGACATACGTGTTGGGAGCATGCAGGGTGCGCACTCTCAGCACATATGTATTTTCAAATGGTACGTAAATATGCGGCCACAATATTTCGGTTATAGGTGGAGTTTTGGATTTTGGTGACTCCAGTGGCGAGACCCCTCGTCCTAGTTGCTGTCTTTTCCCCGCTCACTTTGGGGTGGTCTCCCTTCTCCTGTTACATTGTCCATAATATCAATTCGAGAGATGCAAGATACCACCTGGTTGGTGTATCTCTGCAGTATCCACCAAACACTGAACAACATTGAAAGGGAGTGGGGCAGTTCTGAAGACTGGGGTGAAGCTGAGTTTGGGGGGATTTGGAAGGAATGGTTTAAAGGGTTAAGGGTACCTAGAATCATCAAGTGGTGGGCGCCCCTATGGGCTCCTCTTTTCTGGAAGAGCACATTTTAATGATGACCAGGGGTGGACTGACAACTCATAGGGCCCCCGGGCAATAGGGGATCATGGGGCCCCTGTGTCCTTGCCCAAACTCAAAAAAGCCTATGAAAAAGGCACCAGGGGCATCTCATGGGGCCCCCTACTGACCCCGGGCCCTCAGGCAGTTCCCGAGTTTCCAAATGGTCAGTCCGCCCCTGATGATGATCCATTCAAAGATCCATTCAAAGTTATATTTAAAGGATCCCCTCAATGCAGTGAGCGCCTCCTTCCATGTGGGGCCCGTCAATGTTCAGTGGAGTCTCGGGATCCAGGGGCTCTCGGCGTTCCTGGTTGGAGCTCCTCTATGAATGGGGATATCCTCATCCTTGTCTTCTGAACTCGCAGTAGATGAGATCTCCCTCCTCCAGTTACAGAGTGAAGTAGAGAAACCATTACTGAACTTCCGAGAAAACTTCAAGAAGGACATGAAGAAGTTCGACCATCACATCGCCGACTTACGAAAACAGCTGAGCAGCCGATACGCAGCCGTAGAGAAGGTGAGTTATGGGCTCTCTGATTGGTGGTCATTATTACCTAGGTATTTTGAATGCTTTGTGATTGGTTGTGGCTTTTACCCAGGTAAAATGAATGTGCTGTGATTGGTCATTGTTATTGATCTGATGTCATGAATGCTTTGTGATTGGTTGTTGCTGGTACCTGAGTATAATGAAACTCTGTGATTGGTTTTTGTTATTACCCCAATATAATGAATGTGCTGCGATTGGTTATTGCCATCGACCAGGTGTAATGTACACACTGTAATTGGTCATTACTATTACCTGGGTGTAATAAATGTTCCGTAATTGGTCATTGCTTTTTTACCTGGGTATAATAAATGTTCTGTAATTGGTCATTGCTAATATCACAGGCTCTGTGATTGGTTGTTGCTATTACCAGGATATATTTAATGTGCTATGAATGGTCCTTTTTATTACCCTGGTATATTGAATGTGTTCTCATTGGTTGTTGCTATTACTCACTTATAATTAGTGCGCTGTGATTGGTCTTTGTTATTACCCAGATATAATAAATGCTCTGTGATTGGTTATTTTTATACCCAGGTGTGAAGAATGTGCTATGATCGCTTGCAGCTATTACCCAGATATAATGAATGCTCTGTGATTGGTTGTTGATATTGCCTAGGTAGAATGAATGCACTGTGATTGGTCATTGCTATTGCCCATAATAAATGCTATGCGATTGGTCGGTACTTTTACCAGGTATAATGAATGTGCTGTGATTGGTTGTTGCTTCTACCCACATATAATGAATGCACTGTGATTGGTCATTTTTTCTACCCACTTTAAAAAACACTCTGTCATTGGTTGTTGCTATCACTTGGGTAAAAATAATGCATGGTAATTTGTCACTATTATTGTCCGGGTATAATGAATGTCTTGTAATTGGTCATGGCTAATTCCCAGGTATAAGAAACGTTATGTGATTGGTGATCATTACTACCTAGGTTTAATGAATGCTCTGTGATTGGTCATTGTTAGTACATGGGTAAAATGAATGTGCTAGGATTGGCCATTTTCCTTCCAATTACCTGGATATAATGAATGCTCTGTAACTGGTATAATGGAGACAATGTTACATTGTATCCTGTCACCTGTGTATCAATATGCGGAAACACCTCCCCCCCACCCAGCTATTTATCTCTATATTTTCCCCAACAGGCTCGCAAGGCTCTCGCCGAAAGACAAAAAGATCTGGAAGTAAAAACTCAACAACTAGAAATTAAACTGAGCAACAAGACAGAGGAGGACATCAAGAAAGCACGACGGAAGTCCACACAAGCAGGTAAGGAACTTGTATGTCACCCCCCTATACTGGAGCGCAGGAACATCACTGGAGAGTTTTATTGACTGGGAGGTTTTTATAAATATTTTGTTTTTGGGTTCTCTTTCTTCTTTGTGTTTGGTTTGTTTTTTGTTATTTTTTATTTTGTTATTTCTTGATGGAAATGAGAGAAATAATAGATTGTTCTCTTCTTAATGAAGGTTCCAAGGAAATAGAAATTTACAAAATAACTGTGAGAGAAACATTACTGGTGCCTTATGACAGTGTACAAATGGCTGGTCTCTCTGCCCCTTGGCTGCATATCTGGTTGTTTGCACCACCCCCATGGCAGCATACATATAGTTGGTTGCTCCACCCTCATGATAACGTACACATGGTTGGTTGCTCTACCACAATGGCAGCCTACATAGGGCTGGTTGCACCACCCCCATGGCAGCATGCATATGATTGGTTGCACCAACATCATGGCACCATACATATAGTTGGTTGCTCCTCCCCAATGGCAGCCTACAATAGGGTTGGTTGCTCCATCACAAAGTTGGTGTACATGCTCCGAACCCCATGGCAGCTTTCATTTGGTTGGTTGCTCTGCCCCAACAGTAACCAACATATAGTTGATTGCTCCATCCCCATGGCATGCATATATGGTTGGTTGCTCCACCCCCATGGTAGCTTACATATGGTTGGTTGCTCTGCCTCCATGGCATTGTACCCCCCCCCCCCCCATCCCCCCATAGTAGAGTACATATGGTTGGATGTTCCTCCCCATGGCAGCATAGGCTTTGCTGGTTGCTTTGCCTACTTGGAAGCATACCCCACTTGCTTAGCCCAAGGATAGCCTATATATGGTTGGTTGCTTCACTCCATGGCTGCTTTCATTTGGTTGGTTGCTCTGCCCCAAAGGCAGCATACATGTAGTTGATTGTGCCATCCCCATGGCAGTGCATATATGGTTGCTTGCTATTCCTCCCATGGCATTGTACTTATGGTTGGTTGCTCCAACACAATGACTCTGTCAATTTCTGGTTGCTTCTCCTCCATGGCAGCATGCATATGTAAGTTGTTGCATCCCATGGCAGCCAACGTATGATTGGTGCTCCAACCCCATGTATGAGTACATATGGTTGGATGCTCTATCCCCATGGCAGTGTACATATGGTTGAATGCTCCTCCCCATGGCAGTATAGATACTGTTGGCTGGTTTGCCTGTTTGGCAGCATACCCATGGTTGCTTACTTGGCCCAATGGTAGCATACATATGGTTGGATGCCATACCCCATGGTAGAGTACATGCAGTTGGATGCTCCTTCAAATGGCAACATAGATATTGTTGGTTGCCTTGCCTACTTGGCAGGATATGTCACTTGCTTGGCCCAATAGTAGCATACATACAGTTTGTTACACCACCTCATGGTAGCATACATGTTGTTGGTTGCTCTGCCCCAAAGGCAGCATATATATATTTAATTGCTCCATCCTCATGGCAATGCATATATGGCTGTTTCCTATACTACCCCAGGGCAGTATAAATATGGCTGGTTGTTCCACCCCATGGAAGCCTATATTTGGTTAGTTGCTCCAGCCCCATGAGTATGTATGGGTGAATGTTCTACCTCCAAAGCAGTATACCTGTTGTTAGATACTCTTCCGCTGGGCAGCATAGATACTCTTGGCAGCATATTTATGTTTGCTTACTTGGCCCCATTGTAGCATATATATGGTTGGCAGCATACAACTTTTTTTTTTACCCTGAAGGAAGCAAAACAAATAATGTAGTTGATTGCTCCATCCTCATGACAGTGTTTGTATGGTTTTTTTTCTACACCTTCCCATGGCACAGAGTACATGTGGTTGGATACGCTACCCCATAGCACCATAGATATTGTTGGTTGCTTTGCCTACCTGGCAGCATACTTATGGTTGCTTACTTGGCCCAATGGTAGATACAATACATATGGTTGGTTGCCCTGCCGCAGGGATAGCTTCATAATGTTGGTTGCTGTAGCTGTATCTTAGCAACAACATACATATGGTTGCTTTGTTGGCCCAAGGGCACCATAGATACGGTTGGTTGCTAAGCTTCCTAAGAAAAACTTCAGTTGGAATATCGATTTCTTAGTAATTTATAGCTGAAATCTCCAATGGTATGTTTCCATTGGCTCCTTCCACTTCACTAGCCCCTCCTATTAGAGAAGTGCTTGAAGGAAATGTTACCCGCTGACCCTACAGAACCCAACTAAGAACTCTGTTTAGAGCTGATGCCACCGGTGCCTCTAACTGTCGGATGCATATGTTGAATTTTATATTTATTCTCTATTGTTGGCGGAGGCCTCAGCCTGTCATTGTTCATCAGTCTCTATCCAGGATAACTTGAAGAAGCTACCATCATCCAGGCTGTGTGCAGACACACAGATTGTCAGGGTATCTGGAGACCGTGCTTCAGCTGCTCCTCAATAGCAGCAAAAATATTTTTTTTCTTCTATGAGAAGTCATCTGTGCAGCTTCTTGTTTTCGATGGATAATCAGATTTTGAATTAACGCTCCACATTCTCTCCTCCACAAAAGTGCAATAATACCTGAATTGTATAAAGACAAAGTTGTCAGGTTCCTGGATAGATTTCTGTGACCTTCATGAGGGTCTTCCTTCTACTTTCCTCCTCCTCTCCACACTCCACACAGGCTTTGATGTATGCTCGGCCGTGATATCATGAGCTAAGACCCGCCATTTTGTCCCGCCACTCTCTGTCTTACTGTAAGCGATCCCTTGGCAGGAAGTCAATATCTAATTCTCTGTAAAGCGTCTCCAGCAATCATTGGGAATAATGGATTATCTGTTGGCGAGTTGGGTGCTCCCATCGCCGCCTGTCAGACATAATGAAATATTCTGCTTTAACACTTCTTGAATCAGCGATGGGCGGCCATTAAACAGTGTGCAAGCGTCACTCGGGTCCCATGCACACTGCCGCCTCTGTGTGATCAGTGGAATAATTTTTTCTTATTTATGGCCAATGTCTCGCTGCACCTTGGTTTTTCATAATGAAGTTTTATTAACTTTGTATCCATACAAGGAAGAGAAGGTATATCAAACCCAATATATAAAAGCACCCGTGTGTTACAGCTCTTGCATGTATCACATAGAAGAACAATGTATTCTCCTAATAAATCTAGCACAAAGTTGGTCACAGTAGCGGAGGTTGTCCCTGCTCAAATACCTGGGTCACTGGTAGTGGTATGGCTCTTGGGGGGTGGGCCAACTTGTGTCCATCTAAATGGGTTTATGGTTTAAAACATACAGTAAAATTTGATCTGAGTTCATCTCCATTTAATCTAAAGTAATCTGAGTTTTTAAAATGTAACCAGCTTGCCAAGGTATTGTAATAAGTTTCCTAAATTGGCATTTTTTTAGGATCCTTTGGGCCACTGGTGATATTCTAGACCAGGGGTCTCCAAACTTTTTTAACTAAGGGTCAGATTTCAGTCTTTCAGACTGTGAGGGGACGGACTGTGGCCAGTGGGAGTAGGACATCTACCTGACATCGCTAAACAACGCTTCAGGATTGGTTGTCAGTGAGGGTGAGAAAATGACATATTGCTTGTGGTCAGGAGGAGAAATAGTGCCCCATTATTGATATTGGTGGAAGGAATAGTGCCCTATCGATGGTGTCCAGTAGAAAGAAGAGTGCCCTGTCGTTAGGGAAATGTGCTCCATCAATGGTGTCAGTAAAAAGAACGGTGCCCCATCATTGATAGTCAGTGGGAGGAATAGGGCCCTGTCATTTGTGTCAGTGGGAGGAATAGTGCCCCATAAATGGTGTTAGTAGAAAGAATAGCACCCCATCAGTGTCAGCGGGAAGAATAGTGCCCCATCGGTGGTGCCAGTGGAAGAAATAATGACCCATTATTAGAGTCAGAGGAAGGAATGGTGCCTTGTAGCAGTAGGAGGAATGTGCCCCACGGCCAGATAAAGGCAAGCGAGGGACCATATTAGGCCTATGGGCCACAGTTTGGGGACCCCTGGTTGACAGCAGTGGTTCTCAACCGCTTTTAAAACCAGGGCCCAGTAAATTCTTCCAAAACCTTTCATGCCCCAAGAGTAAAGAATATAGTTTATACTCCCACAGGCTCTGGATGGAGCTGGGTGTCACTGTAGGGGGCTGTGAAGGGGATTAGAGGATTCCACAACTGACGGAATGAGGTTTCCGGAGTGGGCTGGGGAACACTGTAGGGGGCTGTGAAGGGAATTAGAGGATTCCACAAATGATGGAATGAGGTTTCCGGAGTGGGCTGGGGAACACTGTTTGAGATTGGGGTCACTGTGGAGGGCTGGAGGTTCTGCAGCAGGCAGGGGCACTATAGGAGGTTGGGAGGAACTGTAGGACATTGTTGGAGGTTGGAGGCACTATGGAAGGCTGGAGATTCTGCAGCAGGCAAGGGGGCACTCTGGGAGGTTGGGGGGGCACTGTTGGACATTGTTAGAGGATGGGGGAACTATAGAGGGCTGGAGGTTCTGCAGCAGGCAGGGGTACTGTGGGAGGTTGGGGAGCACTGTAGGACACTGTTGGAGGTTGGGGGCACTATGAGGGGCTGGAGGCTCTGCAGCAGGCTGGGGGGAACTGTGGGAGGCATTTTGGGAGGTTGGGTGGCACTGTGGAGGTTGAGAGCTCTTAGGGGGCCTGGGGGTACTGGGGCCCACTATGGGAGGTTGGGGGGCCTTATGGGAGCTGAGAGCCACTGTAGGAGGTTAAGGGTTCTGCAGCTTGGTTGGAGGCTCAGAAGGAGGAGATGTGGCCATATTTAGTCAATGATGTCACAAACTTCATCACACCTTTGTGGTCATGCATCTGCAGGGCAGGGAATGAAAGGGACAGCCCTGACAACTTCCTTCTGGGTTCAGACCAAACCAAAGCTCATCCCTAACCTAGAGGTCTTGCAGTATTTCAGGATCAGACTTTTGGCTGCGATTAGGAGGTGGGGGTGTCATTGATTTCCAGTAGCTCGGGATGGACATGGGTGTATTGTGGAATAATAGTACACATCCCACTTCATGCAGTAGCAGAGCAGGGAAGACTTGCTCAGCTCTAAGGAGGTGTGGCCACATATAAGCTGGGAGTTCTGCTGCGGAGATATCGCTGCTTACCAAGGCATAGAAGAAGCAGACATGGGGTTCAACGTATTAGCAGACAAAACTGAATTTTTTTTTAGGTGGAATCAATCTTCAATAATTGAATTGTGAAAATTGATTGTGCTATAAAATCCAAATCTTGTGATTTTCTGCAGTCACATTTTGTATGACCGACCTGCATACAGAGAAATTGTTTCCATATTGTTGTATATATTCAGCTTTTTTCATTATTTAAGTCTATTCAGCATTATTGCCATCAACTTGCCAAGTATGAATGATTGATGTTCCATCAATGACTGTGTAAAATAAAGGTTTCATATCAATCCTCTAATTCCCCTCCCCCATCCCCTCCAGTTACATTGTGACAGCAATCTTTATAGAACATCGATACAAAATAACTTAAATTGTGTGTTTTCTTCTAGGAGATGACCTGATGCGCTGTGTGGATCTGTACAACCAAGCACAGTCAAAATGGTTCGAAGAGATGGTGACCACCACCCTGGTAAGTTCTTTTTATTTCAATATTTAGGAGTACCTAGGATTTTTATGTTCAGGAGGCAAAAAACATCTAGTAAGAGTAGTGGCTTTCTAGAGGATGATTGACCTCCACCCATCGCCTGTCTGGCTACTTGACCTCCACTGTAGAGGCTGCACCCTGTCTAATGACCTGACTTCCACCATAGGGTCCTCAAGGCTGCGCCTCCTTCCTGTTCATCATACAGCCCCCCCTAGTGACCTGACCTCCACCACAGAGCTCCAGAGTCTGCTCTCCCTTTCTGTTCACAGTACAGCCCCCCAGTGACCTGACCTCCACCACAGAGCTCCAGAGTCTGCTCTTCCTTTCTGTTCATAGTACAGCTCCCCCTAGTGACCTGACTTCCACCACAGAGCTCCAGGGTCTGCACCTCCTTTCTGTTCATAGCACAGCCCCCCCTAGTGACCTGGCCTCCATCAGAGAGCTCCAGCGTCTGCTCTTCCTTTCTGTTCATAGTACAGCCCCACCTAGTGACCTGACCTCCACCACAGAGCTCCAGAATGTGCACCTCCTTTCTGTTCATAGCACAGCCCCCCCTAGTGACCTGGCCTCCATCAGAGAGCCCCAGCGTCTGCTCTTCCTTTCTGTTCATAGTACAGCCCCACCTAGTGACCTGACCTCCACCACAGAGCTCCAGAATGTGCACCTCCTTTATGTTCATAGTACAGCCTCCCCTAGTGACCTGACCTCCACCACAGAGTTCCAGGGTCTATACTTCCTTTCTGTTCATAGTACAGTCCCCACTAGTGATCTGACCTCCGCCACAGAGCTCCAGGATCTGCACCTCCTTTCTGTTCATAGTACAGCCCCACCTATTGGCCTGATCACCACAGAGCTCCAGAGTCTGCACCACTGTTTTGTTCATCGTATAGCTGATCTTGGATGAGTTTTTCAGTTTTGTTGCTTTCAATCAGTTGCCCATAGCATTTAATGATTATAAATACACTGCATATCTGAACACACATGCCATGAGGCTGTCTGCCATCCTGGTTGGTTTTGACCAATCCGCGTTTACAAGCGTTTGGCGTTTGAAACGCCGGTAAAATCTACTCAAGTTTGGTGTGTTAAAAAAACTACTGTAAACTCAACCGCCTGTAAACGACAATGTGTACATGGACACATAGGAAAACATTAGGGAGAGTTCAGGGGCTGCTGAAAAAACGCAGAAAAGCTCCTAAATGTCAGTTTATCAGCTGCAGTGTACATGAGCCCTAATACTTACCTGAGCCCAATCTTGATCCAGCAATGTGCATGAGAGCAGCGGCTCTCTCCCTCCTCATTGGCTCAGACATAGCAGACGGAGGCAGTGGCTCCCTCTGCTGCCAATCACAGCCAGTGAGGAGGGAGCAGGGGATAGGGACGAGCCGTGCTCTGTGTGTCTTATAGACACACAGAGCGGGACTCAGGGGTGAATATACAAGAGAGCTCCCATAGCAAACAGCTTGATCTGGAGGCACACGGCAAGGGGAAAAGAGCTAGGAGCATCGGTTGGGGGACCCAAGAAGGGGAGAACTGGGGCTGCTCTGTGCAAAACCATTGCACAGAGCAGGTAAGTATAACATTTGTTATTTTTTTTTTTTTAATTGCCTTTTACAGTCACTTTTGCAATACCACCCCCAACCCAGTCAAAATGTCTGAGGGGTGTGATGTAGGTTTCTTTTTATTCCTATTATGCTCCAGTGGACACAACTTTAATGGCACCTATCCCAAATACATCTATATTTCCATTTGATAAGGTTTTACAACCAACATATTAATTAGTAGAATTAAATTGTGATTTATTTGATATCAGCCATGATAAAATCCTGATGTATGATTCTTTCGTGCCTGATTATTCCATTGGACCTCGTAATTTAGTGTCTAACTGGTTGGTATCTTTTTATGAAGATGACTCCATTACTTTTTATGAAGATTACTCCATTACTGTAGGATATTTGAGTTGAGAGTTTGAGATGCATTAAAGTTCAAGTTTAGGTAAAAAAACCAGACTCACAGATACATATTGCTCAACAGCTCTCTTTGACCATTTACAACCAGGCCATTTATGACAGGGCCCTCATTAGGAGTCTTCTGAAGACCTTCTAGTGGAGGACTATGACTTCTCTGCATTCTTTTTTAGCTGACCTATGTCATATCAAATGTGTCTCAGGCTGGGGTAGGCACAGACATGAGATCTAAATCTGACCAATTTGTTGCTGACCCTCACATTTTGAAGAAAATGAGGATGGCAAGGTTACTTAGTATGATTCCCCCATTCTCTCCACACAGTTTGGGGTTGGTCAGACCTCACCTGCACAGAAGTCTAGGACAACCATTTATGGGTGGGAGGGTAAGGGAACTAGAGTGCTGTTGGTGAGGTTTCAAAACGCAGCAGTTGGATTCCTCACTGTATGAAATAATGTCAGATATCTGTAGGTTGGAATGTAAGAGGATTCAAAAGGGTTTTTGGAGTCTCTGTGTGTGCAATTTAAATGGCACTAAGTGAACGTATGAAAACACCCGGAATGGGGCGGAGTTCCTCTGTAATTCTGGTTTCTGTTGCGCAGGAGTTGGAGCGATTGGAGGTGGAGCGGGTGGAGATGATCCGGCAGCACCTTTGTCAGTACACACAGCTACGCCATGAAACGGACATGTTCAACCAAAGTGTGAGTATCTGGAAATATTACTTCTGAACTCATTGATATGCTGTGTGCTAATGTTTCTTATGTTAGGGGCATCTTATTTATTTCAATGGACTACGCCAGAAGGGTGCATGAATGTGCTTTTTTTTTTTTGTAATGCAGTGCACTACATGGTAGTGCATAAGTGGTACACTGCAAGACATGAGTGCATTGGGGTGCTGTTAAGAATGAATAGCTCCACAGCAAACCAATGCACTAACCATAAAACCCACTGGTGTGTTGCGGTGTCATACAATATTAATTGCACCCCAAAGCAAATTGCCAACAGCTTTACCTTGCAATACACCACAACATACAGTATTGTGCTATGCATTGTGGTGTGCTGTGCTACATATATAATTGCAGTTCTGTGAGGTATTACTGTGCTGGTAACAATCAGATGGAGAAGCTGGCCCCTTGGCAGTCTCATTGTCAGCACAAGTGACATACTAAACCCCAAGATTTGGATTGTCACCTGCACTGGCCATTCACAAGTTCAGTGACATATCATACCCACAAATTTTGATCGTCACCTGCAGTGGCCATTCCCAGGCTTAGAAACATATCGTACCCCCAGATTCTGATTGTCAGGCTTAGTAACATAATGTACCCCCAGATTCTGACTGTCATCTGCACTGGCTATTTCCAGGTCCCATGACATACCATACCACCAGGATCCGATCATCACCTGCACTGGTCATTCCAAGACTTTGTGACATACTGTACCCCCAGAGTCCTATCGTCACCTGCAGTGACCCATCCCAGGCTCAGTGACATACTGTACTCCCAACGTCCTATCATCACCTGCAGTAGCCATTCCCAAATTTGGTGACATACTGTACCCCCAGATTCTGATTGTCACATACAGTGGCCATTCCAAGACTTAGTGATATACTGTACCCCTATATTCTAATTGTCACCTGAACTAACCATTCCCAGACTTGTTGACATACTGTACCCCCAGATTCTGATTGTCACCTGCAGTGGCCATTCCAAGACTTGTTGACATACTCTTAGATTGTAAGCTCCCAGGATCAGTGCCCTCCTAACCCACTTGTATTGAACTGTATTGTTGCTGTATTGTCTCCCGTTGTAAAGCACAGAGCAAACTGTTGGCGCTCTATAAATCCTGTATAATAATAATACTTACTGTACCCCCAGATTCTGATTGTCACCTGCAGTGGCCATTCCAAGACTCAGTGATATACTGTACCCCAAGATTCTAATTGTCACTTGTACTGACCATGACTTGTTGACATACTGTACCCCTCAAGTTCTAACATCACCTGCAGTAACCATTCCCAAACTTGGTGACATACTGTACCCCCAGATTCCATTTGTCACCTGCAGTGGCCATTGCAAGACTCAGTGATATACTGTACTCCTAGATTCTGATCGTCGCCTGCAACAGCCATTCCCAGGCTCAGTGATATACTGTACCCCCAGATTCCATATGTCACCTGCAGTGGCCATTCAAGACTCAGTGATATACTGTACCCCTAGATTCTGATCGTCACCTGCAACAGCCATTCCCAGGCTCAGTGCTCATATTGATGGATGGTCTCATTCATTGATCTTTCTTTCTTTCCAAAAATGTAAATTCCTGCAGAGAAGAATTCCCAAAATAGTGTCACCAAGAGGTTGGTTGATCTTTGGTCAGTGACTAGCAAGCCACAAAGTCCATTTTATAGGACAACCAATAGAAAAAGTGTCCTCAGTGTAGAAACTGGAGGGTCATCCTGGTCCTCACATGGCCACTTACCACCAAATAGAAATGTTAGCCAAGGGAGTCAGGCAGCACTTTAAAGGGAACCTCTCACTATAGTGAATCCCTGGCATAGCCAAGGCTCCTGACTGGTGCCAGTTCCAGGCTGGCATGTCTCTGAGATACTGTAGAGCACGGGTGTCAAACTGGTGGCCCTCCAGCTGTTGCAAAACTACAAGTCCCACCATGCCTCTGCCTTTGGGAGTCATGCTTGGAACTGTCAATCTTGCAATGCCTCATGGGACTTGTAGTTTGGCAACAGCTGGAAGGCCGCCAGTTTGACACCCCTGCTGTAGAGGCTCGGACCAGGAATTAGTACTGATTCCTGGAATTGGCCACTGGAGTCCCATAGTTGCCCTGGCCAAGCAGGCAAATGGTATGTTGTTTGTATGGGTACCTTAAAACATATGTCAACCCAAAATCCAATCCCGAAAAATAACCCCCATAATTACCCCTCCCCAATCCTATAAAGTAATCTTTACCATGTTCCTGTCAATGCAAAAGTAATTTTCACTCTTTCTAAATCTGCAGCTTTCATAAAAAAAAAACCAGGTGAACCTGCCATGAAGGTCCTTCTTCAGGCACTTCCTGTTATAGGGTGACAACGCTTTGTCCCTGTCTCCCAATTGCACTCCTGTGTTGTCACCTGGTCACACAGGCTTTCCATGGAGACTACAAGTGGCCATTTCAGCACACACTACACAGGCATGGCCCACTGTTGTCACCATCAGGAAACCCACTGTTAGAAATGCCATGCAGCCATTGCTGGAGTGCCTGTAGACAAGAAGTGTCTGAAAAGAGGCTGCAGGAGATCAGCAGGCCTGAAACAAAGGATGAATGTAGGATTGTAGCAAACCATGATGTGTGTCACAGTTCATAGTACACTTTAAATGCCATCAATTTAGGGTTTACACCTCTTTAACCCAAGTGTGTGTTTCCCTACAGACGGTGGAGCCGGTGGACCAGCTGCTGCAGAAAGTGGATCCGGCCAAAGACAGGGAATTGTGGGTGAAAGATCACAAGACAGGGGACATCCGACCCATCGACATGGACATATAGACTTTCCCGACGCACAGTTTCTGCGGAGTTCCTCTGGTTGGGGCTCCTGTATATATTTCTGTGAGATACAAAAAATGCCGCTGATTCCCGTGTCACCAAATGGTTGAAATGGGACGCGGCGAGGTCTGGGACTGTGAACGCCGGTGACACCAGGGACATGGCAGAGTCTGTGAAATTGGATCATGTACAGGACCCTCACCAGCCATCTGAGGTCTTATTATTCTCTATACGGCGTCCAATCAGCATACCCTTTGCATTCGGCGTACACAGAATCCGATATTCCCGAAGATCGAAGGAAGGACTCTGCCGAGCTCTGTATATAAATTGTCCTCATTATCCTCATCGAAAATCTGCAATCTTTTCCGTGGACTCTTGTTCCCTTGTATGATGTCACCATATTTGTAACTACCCAGTACAAATGCAGAGATTTCAACATTCGCTCCTGTGTGTGGCCGCTCCTCACCTGCAGCATGTTATAACTGAATGCGTCTGAACCAGGAAAAAAAAAAAGTCACAGCCATGATGCAAAGTCAGTTATGTTCGCTCTGCTCCTGCATGAGCTGCAAAGGAATTCAGCATGACGTCAGGGCACAGACCCCTAATTGTGATTTACTTATGAGCTGATATATCATTGCCCACAGCAGAAAAAATTGTATACACCATCCCAAATATATAGCAGCCGATGTCTGCTTCTATCACAGGCTTCTCACTAAGGTATTTGCTTCAAAAAGGAAATAATGGGTTTAAATAGTATGTATGACTTGTGTTGGCCTCCTATGTCTTTAGAAGTTCCCATTGCACCAGGGGTGGACTGACCATTTAGTCCCTCAGGCACTGCCTGAGGGCCTGGGGTCAGTCCATAAAATGCCCCTGGTACCTTTTTTATTTTTTTTGAGTGTGGGCAAGGACACAGGGGCCCCATGATCCCCTATTGCCTGGGGGCCCCATGAGTTGTCAGTCCGCCCCTGCATTGCACCCAATTAAAGCTTTTGCACACATTGCTCCTGATTGCAACTAGAGATTGGGAACTTTCCATTAGCCACCAGTAACTGTGGCAGGAGCGTGCATGGTGCCCGTTCTCGGCACAGTTCTGGGTTTTTTTTGGGTACGCATATATGCAGCCTCTCTGTGTTAAGGCCCACCCTCTGAGAAGCCACATATATGCGTGTGGCCGACGGGATGGAGTTAAAGTGTTACTAAACCCACAACAGTACAATCAGTCTGTAGATGCAGTAAAGCATGCTTGTTATACTCACTGTGGAACCTAAGGGGTTAATCCTCTGCATTGTGTAAAAAGGCTGTTTGATCCTGTCACCTCTGATCCTCCCTTCTTCCAGTGCCCCCTCTTATCTCCTGATAAGACATATTGTGTGGAGTGACTCTGCACATGCATGCTCAGTTTGGTGTGTATTGCTAGAAAGGATTTTTTTTTTCTTGGGAGAATGCATGTGATCAGCACAGGGGTTCTGCATCCTCCTAGAGCAGAATGGAAACTCCTCCTACAAGCTTTAACCAGTGCTTGGCTGGACACTGAAAGAAGTCACGAGACTGCTATATACCGCTGATAAAAAAAGGGATTTAGCAGTTTATATTTACTAAAATAATTGCACTTTCATGTTGTGTGTACTGTGGGAGACCAGATATAGTGAATGCAGGGTCCAGGGAGACCGGATATAGTGAATGTAGAGTCCAGGTAAACTGGATATAGTGAATGCGGGGTCCGGGGCGACCGGATATAGTGAATGCGGGGTCCGGGGAGACCAAATATAGTGATTGCGGGGTCCGGGGAGAGCGGATATAGTGAATGCGGGGTCTGGGGAGACCGGATATAGTGAATGCAGGGTCCGGGGAGACTGGATATAGTGAATGGAGGGTCCGGGGAGACCGGATAAAGTGAATGCACTATGTCCGGGGAGACCGGACATAGTGAATGCAGGGTCCGGGGAGACCGGACATAGTGAATGCAGGGTCCGGGGGGAGACCGGACATAGTGAATGCAGGGTCCGGGGAGACCGGACATAGTGAATGCAGGGTCCGGGGAGACCGGACATAGTGAACGCAGGGTCCGGGGGGACCGGACATAGTGAACGCAGGGTCCGGGGGGACCGGACATAGTGAACGCAGGGTCCGGGGGGACCGGACATAGTGAACGCAGGGTCCGGGGGGACCGGACATAGTGAACGCAGGGTCCGGGGGGACCGGACATAGTGAACGCAGGGTCCGGGGGGACCGGACATAGTGAACGCAGGGTCCGGGGAGACCGGATATAGTGAATGCAGGGTCTGGGTTTAGTAACACTTTAACAATCAGCAATGCCGAGACAAGGTCATTCAGCAACCAAGGCAAAGATACCAAACTGTGCCCCCCCTTCATGATGTGCGGCTCTTGGTATCCGCTTAGGGGGTGTGTAACTAGTACCTCCTTCCCAGCTCTCTCCTCTCTGCTCCCAGCTTGGGCCTGACAAGAGTAGCGATTCCACTGTTACTACTCCTGTCAGCCTTGTAACAAAAGGAGCTCAGCACAGGATGCCCCCATCCCTGCAATAAACCACTGCGCCCAGGGCAGCTGCCCCTCCTGCCAACCCTTTGACCCGGCCATGATAATCAGTAAAAAAAAACAAAAAAAGAATCTGTGTTGCTGGACAGGGTTTCAGTCACGTACACGCATATACGCCACATTTCAGGGAAAGCTAGAAGTATTTCTATCCATGTATACACATTGGTGCCAATACCACCTGTACTATACAGCCCATCCTCACGTTTTTTGCAAAGGAACTTTCTACCAGGAATCCAATGTTCATACTCCAGTATTGTGTGCAAGAACCCTTCGTGTTTTGCTGGGGGCCAATGCTCACATGAACTTAGCCCTTCCATTGGCTCGTTTAACAAAGCAAAGGCTAATGATGAGTCAACCCACCATCCAATCAGAGGGCGTTCTGCTGTACTGCAGCGAATGACATATGGGATCCTATTGGCTGCTTTTTGCCTTCTTATCCAACCCAGCGGGTGTCTACAGTTCCCCCATGGCAACCCATGAACATTTTCTATTGGTCCTACTGAGTACTTGCAGAGCCTGTTCTGCCATTAAGAACTAACCAGGTTAGAAATTTGGTGTATGCAGGTGATGATTTTTTAGTATTTAGAACGGATCTGCCACCCTCTAGGCGAAGTGCTGTAGAATGGACTGAAACAACATAGACATTTCCTTTTACAATGATCCAGCATGGCCACCCCACCAGGAAACATAGTCGTTTAGTGATCTGCTGCATATCCACCTTCCTGATCAAAGGATTCCCTCAAAGGACTGGGAGCACCTATGCAAACTCCTCACCCAGGCCGGTGCAAGTCCTGGCTGTACAGTAGTGTTGTGTTGTTACAATGTTTAAATGATGTTGATACAATGTTGATGCATGTAACGCATACAGGGAGGACTATGTAACAAGCTGAGTTCACTACAAAATTGCCAAATTATTATTTTGATTTCTTCATTCTGTGCAGAATCCAGATGGACACAACTTGTTTTCATGTGGTAAGGTTTGCTGCATCAAGGCCAACTATTCACTTTTAAAGCCAACCTTCCATGGCAAATGGAAGATGCATTTTATTCTAGTCCTCTGTCCTCCAACACAAATGGCTTATTAAACATTTATAAAAAAAAACCCCAAAAACTCAACCCTTGCCCCCAATGCTTTAGGAAAGCACAGGTGACATCATCGTGCCTCTTGCTAAAACTGGAGGCCCAAAATCCCACGAGAAGGCATTCCAGCCAAGTCCATTCTCATGGGATTTTGAGCCTCCAGTTTTGTTGGGAGGCGTGATGATGTCACTCATGCCTCCTGGATGCACTGGAGACCAGAGCTAAGTGGTGTTCACTTAATTTTTTTGATGAACTTAATGGCTTTTTGGGGGCTAGAAAATTAGAGAACCATCTGTTTGCCATGGAGGTGCAAAAAAACACCCGAAAAACTCAACCTTCGCCCCCAATGCTTCTCGGAAGCACTGGTGACATCATCATGCCTCCTGCTAGAACTGGAGGCTCAAAATCCCACGAGAAGGCATTCCAGCCAAGTCCATTCTCATGGGATTTTGAGCCTCCAGTTTTGTTGGGAGGCGTGATGATGTCACTCATGCCTCCTGGATGCACTGGAGACCAGGGCTGAGTGGTGTTCACTTAATTTTTTTGATGAACTTAATGGCTTTTTGGGGGCTGGAAAATTAGAGAACCATCTGTTTGCCATGGAGGTCAAATTGGTCGTATCAATCCATGAATCACTCTTTCCTACAATGTACAGGGCTCATAGCAGGTTCTGTTCTGTCTGACAATTGGAACTTCCATGCCAAACTGAGGGTTCTCTTAATTGCCAGAAACGCTCTAGGATTTGGTGATGCTTATTTTATATTCAGACCAAGAAGACCTGTCGAAGGTCAAGCGCCATACAGATCTTCCCTGTCTGAGCTCTTTTTTGCTGCTCACAATTATTATGTTTACATTTTTTTTTTTTACTTTCTGTTGTGTGTTTGGAATGCCAATAGTTTTCAGCTTCCAAACAAGTATGTGCAGCCAGTAAGAACATGCATGAACCTGCAACTTTAAATAAGCCAATAAGAACACCGGAATGATGACGGTACAGGATGTGCCCATCTGATAATGAGCTGCAATGTAAATTAGGAAGAGGTTGTAGGTGACATTATTGATGCATGGAAGAGCATAGGAAAAGATGGAGGAGACTTCACTTCTGAAGGACTCCGCTCCTTCCTCTATAACTCTCCTCTCCTGAAATACTCTGCACTGCTGGAGGACTCCGCTCCTTCCTCTATAACTCTCCACTCCTGAAATACTCTGCTCTTCTGGAGGACTCCGCTCCTTCCTCTATAACTCTCCCCTCCTGAAATACTCTGCTCTTCTGGGGAACTCTAATTCTTCTGAAATACTCTACAGAAAGAGCAGAGTCCTCCAGCAGAGCAGAGTATTTCATGAGAGGAGAACTAAAGAGGAAGGAG